TTTTGGATGGTATTTAATGTAGCAAACTTGATGTGCTACTCAGCGTTCCTAGAGACTTCAATATCGAAATAGAATGACTGTTATAAACTCTAAAATGTCAATTATTTTATAACAAATGAAATAAACTTATAAGTCATATATTAAATTAATTAGAAGGAAAAAAATATCAATATTCAGAACTACTTTTATATTAATCAATATTTATTCATTTTTTTAATACATGCAATTTATAAGTTTTATCCCGTGCATCGCACGGGCTACGTACTAGTTACTATATAATATAGTTAAGAAAAATTATGAAAAAAAATCCAAGTTTAGAAAGTTTTTTCCCGCTTTTATTTTTGTTTCTTTACTATTTATGGTGAAGTTTGTTGATTTTTTTTTTTAAAATTCCCGCCCAAGCCAATTTTTTGTACGGCTGAATTTGAGTGACAGATTTCTATGTGGTACGTGTATTTTTTATCTTGATAAATAAGTAATGTTTATCCCAAAAATTTTACAAACAATATTCCTTTTCCAACAAAAATATGCACTCCATGATTCTTTTTGTGAATATCCCTAATTAAATGTGCATATATTGTATTGGTAATGTTACACATCGGATCGTCCATGAAGGCCGGAGACTCGAAGTTTACTAAATTTAATTGAATTTTTTTGTTCGATGAATCCCAAAAATTTAAGGTTCATAGTTACATGTACATGATTTATTTAGTTGTCATAAGAAATGGGATTGTAAGTAGATAAATGTAGGATAAAAAATAGTTTAATCTAAAATCTATAACTAACAAGTAATTAACATATTTCTAACTAACAATTACAATTAATCAGTGTTTGATTATTTTATAGCACATAAACGATTATCATTACATTTTTATCATCTCTATTATTAATTATATTTGCTTATTTCAATTTGTTAAAAGGTGACTCTTTATATATATATATATATATATATCATATTTGTAAGAAAAAATTATTTATTAATCTAACATTAAATTGTAAGTCATATTAATTGTACTTACAATATAATATAATAACTTTATTTAAAATAACGTAAAAAAAATTAAAATTCCATAATGTGAAGTAAATTCATAGCTTTATTTTCATATAATCAAATTCCTAACAAACTAATTAATATTATATTTTTTTATCTACATTATCTAACTGCTTTTTTATGATTTAATTATCTATTAATATATAATAATGATTAACATAATTCAATTTTAGTAAGCTTTTTCTGCCACTTTAATTAATTACATGCTAAATATAGGAATTCATAAATAATTCGAGTAAATCAATTGCTGAGCATTAATTGTGAAGATTGATATGCAAACCCCATTAATTAGGAGAATAATTTGATTGGGAACGAAATCCCATTTTTTATAGAATGCAAACAATTGCTGAACATTAATTGTGAAGATTGAGGATGCAAATCCCATTAATTAGGAGAATAAATTATTTGGGAACGAAATCCCATTTTTTTTATGGAAGATGTCTAATATTTCAGTTTTTTTTTTTTTTTT